CATCAGTCCCCGATTGCGTGAACGAGGAAGATCTTGAATGTACTTTTCGAAAGCTTCTAACCTTACTTTCCCTTTAACTTCTACAAATTCAGACCAGCTGATATCAAGCAACTTCTCACCGCTACATAAAATTCATCATTCATAAGGTCAACAAAACATGACTGCAGTGGCCAACAAGAAAATCATCTAAGAATAGACAGAAAGCAGCTTGCCACGCACGCAGGTCTTATAATGCATTAAATCAAGTGAACAGCCATAGGATCCACCACCATCACGTGTGAGGAGAATCAGTGCAAGAACAAGTCAAAATATGAACAACAGCATGGAAAATGGAAAGCCAGATAGATGATGCATAATAGTAGAGGCAGCAAAAACAAGGTTATTCAATAGGTAACCATGAAAGACGGGAATCTTGCCCGAATAAAGCGAAGATGCCTACCCAATTTTTATATCAAAAGAGCCTACCATATTAAACAGTTAGTAAAGACTAAATATAACTAAGGAAATATGTTAGAACTAAGTTAACTACATTGAGTGCAATAGGCACAATTCAAGAATATAGCTAATTAAATCGAACAGATATGAATGAAAAAACCATGATCAATTACTACAGTAGAAGAGAAGTGAAAATTTCCAACTCTTTTATGGTGGACAATTTTAGTATGCACAGTATGTTTGTCATATCAACACTGTGTGAATGAAGGCCATCATACAGATTCTGTCTCTCTAATATAAAGACAAGATATCCTAAGATCTTATACTACACATCCCACTGGCAAGATTTCTTTTTTCACCTTTTCTCTAAACTGCATTCAAGATTAACTGGTATCTGTGATGTACCTTAAAATAGTTCCACATTTAAGCACTGAGATAAATATGACTGACTGGCAAACTCTAAAACACCAAAACGGCCAGATATCTTTCAATTGTAAGGGGCGCAAGAGAAAAAATTCCCAGGAAAACTACCAAAAAATTTACAGCAGCAGCATTTTAAATGTATAATAATGAAATATGGATTCTTTTAATTCGTACACTTCATATCAAAATAAGTTGCAAATAGGGATATAATGAAGCTATTCTCTGAAAATTGACACTAGATGGATACAGTGTGGTTATAAATTGATTGAAGGAACGTTTCGACTGCTCATGGACAACAATCACTTTGCTGTTCTATCAAGCTCGTGCTATTGTTCCTTTCTTTTAATCTTTCTATTTACTAGTGTATCGTCACAAGTACTGTACTTAATCAACCACTGAATATACCACCTCATTTGTACATATAACAAGGCAAGATTAGGAAAAATAAAAACTTCGTGAGCTTAGGCCCCAACCAAAGCTGCTCATTCTGAATGTGCTGAGTGGAGCTTCTAACTCATGAGTTTGAGTAAGATTAGCACTGGCCAATACTCTCTGTTGACGATAATCTGGATCATGAAGGGACAGTTTAAAGAACATGGAAAATGAAGTGGCTCATTTTATTTGGTTCGATCAACTTTTTACACTTGGTGTTTTTTAGGGATGATCTCAAGCAGATCAGCTAAAATTTAAAATGGTGCTGTAAGGAGGCCTGGAATAACTAATTACAATATTTATTAAGCTTTTCAATTATCAAGATTGAAGTAGTCTCTTTCTTTTTTTATAAAATCAAGATCAAAGCAGTCTCTGTGTTTTGAAGAATTGGACAAATTACCTTAATTTTCACATGCAATTGACTTGGTTCTTCTTTCATTGTTTTCTGTTTTGTGGTGTAAATCCTTTTTTTATTATTAAGTTGTCTTATCATGTACATAAACCTTTAGTGGTGTCCACTGTACCCAACTTAATTGCCAAACTAGATAACACCAAGTTTGAGGAAGTGGCAGAAGGTGTTGAAACATGAACCTCAAATTTTAGTATTTACTACGTAGAGAGAGATTAACTATTGTGGAACAGGGGATGGTATATAGATCATTCTCTGCATGGAGAATTGCTGAGCTTTATTCTAATCTCTCTCTCCCTCCCCCCCCCCCCCC